AGATGATGTGGAGAAGGAACAAATTGCGAGCCTTTGCAAATATTGCGAGAGTCGGTTGAATTTGTGTGACTCTACAATCGCAAATTCCTGAAGGGACTGAAACACACACACTCATACATACACACACACTCGCACACATCAAAGGCCGGCCCCCCGCAGGCGTGTTCTGAAGCCCGGAGTAGATGTGACGGCGGTACAGTCCTGCAGTTTGTGTGTCTTATCTGATGCGGATGTACGCCGAGGAAAACGCCACACTGGGATGAGAAAACTCGAGCGAGCCTCTAAAAACAACCGCCGCTCTCCCCCTCGGAGCGGACACAAAGAGGCAGAGTGAAAAACCGCAACAGATGAGAGCGGCGCAGGACGGAGAGCAGTCGGGACTAGGGGTCCCAGGGGTCCGCGCTGACCCTCGCGTACTCCCCCAGCTCCGAAACTCTCCTCTTTGGGTCACGACTTCGGCTCTTCTCTCTTTTGTACTCTTTCTTCACTCTCTCTATCTGACTCACTGCGGACCAAATTAGCTGAGAAACGATCAGAATAGACAAGAGAGGGAGAGAGAGATACAGAGAAGAGAGAGAGAGAGAGAGAGATAGCCAGATAAAATGCATCTGGTCCCTTTGATAGCTCCGTTTCCCATAATGCTATGCTGCCCCTATGCTATTCCAAGCCCGCGCTGGTGTCACGCTACCTCTTAGCAGTTGCATGTATGTGTGTGCGCACATTTTTTTATCTGACCGAGGCGTCGAACGACCGGCGGCGCACACAGAAAATGAGAAAGCAGTCTGGAGAGACTCCTAATTCAGTCTGAGGAGAGATGGAGAGTTGACATAACTTATGTGGAAACTAAAAACTCCCAATCGTGTAAAAAGCTCATTAGGCTCGGGGATAGCTTTACTAGTGGCGCAGCGCGGCGCTGCTACATGCAGTCATACTCTTGGCATACTGTAAAGCCCGAGCATATTTTCATTTCGATCCGTGCTTTTCCCATAAAACCTGTCATCTATCTTCATTACTCAACTCAACCTCCACATTTCTGAGCGAAGGGGAGGGGGTTATAACCTCCCCAACAACTGGATACTCTTTGATTTCCTATAGGCCACTGACTTTGATGCCCCGAATGCAAATTAAACTATTACTTTTGAGTGGTGGGCGTAAACATGAGTATCGACTAAAGAGGTCAATGTCACCGGTTAATGACAGCGAGTCGCCTCGGGCGTCCGGCCGTACTGTTTTCTATCACGTTATGCGCGGTGGATTATCTCCACCAGGGCTGCCCCAAGTGCAGACCAGGCCAAAGTTGGCCCATGACGCCGCTTGGGCTTCATTCACTGGTTTTTAAATCTGTATTGTTAAATTTACACTTTGTTTTTAGTTTTATTACTGTTTGTTTAAAGCATCGTGGTCACAGTATAGAGTATAATATCACAGAACATATTTTTTAAAAACTCTATTTTGTCTTTTTGGCCCTCTGCCCACCATTTACACTTTAGCCCCCAAGACAAAAATTTTGGCACCCCGATCTACCCCCTTAAATAACAGCAGTTCTTTAACAGTACACTCTCAGAAATAAAGTTACTAAACTGTCACTGGGGCAGTCCCCCTCTTGTCACTGGGGTGGGACCCTAAAGGGTACATCTCAGTTCCTTTAGTCAGGGAACATAACTGTACAATAATCCACTGAAATGATATTTTCTAAGTTGTTGACTCCACACACCCCGTCTCGTCTCCAGGCTTTTTATTTTACTGTTCAGTTTTAAAACTTTAGCTTTACAAAAAGGTACAAACACGAACTTTTCACCAGGAAAAAAAAAAAAAAAAAGTTTCACAATTGGACCCTAAAACCACTGTTGTACCTTTGAGGGAACGTTTACATTATTTGTACCTTAATGAACAAAAAAATGTACTTGCATAGAACCTTTATTTCTAACAGTGGAGTACAAGCTTTCTAAAGAATTGCGACAAAAAATGGTTCTCTATGATAGAAAACATGTTGTTTTTGGTTCTTTAAAGAAATGGGCACCAAAAATCAGAATCATAACATGACTACAAATTTTCACGGATTTGAGCATGCTTGCATTTTTCAATCTAGCAAAAAAAAATAAAATAAAAAAAGCTTCTTAAATAAAATTAAACACATGCACAGTGTAACTATGAAACATATCTCATGTTAAAAATGCATAAAACAGTCAAGGTCACTCCGTGGGGAAAACACCTCACACCACAACAGCAGCTATCTGCCCCTGATCCTCATCAGATCAGGACGAGATTACAGACTAAACGTATCTGTGAGCTGCCGCAAGACGAAAGCAGAATTACCCCTGTAACAGCACTGTAATAAAACAGTGATCAAAAAACTAAAATTTCCAAAAACAACCAAAAAAAAAAAAACACAGCCAGCGCGCTACATAAACAATTCTGCTTTTATCATGCCGTGTAAGAGTGGATAGAGATACAGATATGTGTTCACAAGTAGTTCAGTGTTTAGTGAGCAGCCCGGACCGGCGGCGTGTTCAATAACATACGGAATGGCGGGGGTGATTTAACACACAGGAGATAATGGCGGCGTGTTGACTAAGCGCGGGCCCTGATTGGCCGAGAGCCTCGGTGGGCCCAGCGGTGCGGTTAAAAGCCAGGATTACCGAGGTCATTAAGCAGCATCGCCGCGGTGACGTGATTAGTCAGGTAGCAAAGTCCATTTGTCACCTGCGCCTGAAAATTGAGTTAATACGGCACTACGGGCTATGGGAACTGTATAATATCAACTTGATTACATCAAGGCAGCTGCCGAGCTGACACCTAGCTGAATTTGTCAGCTTTAATCGTTAGGAGCTGTCACAAATCCATCAGAAGCTCAGATAATTAGGGCCCCTATCTAACGAAAGCAGCAGAGGAACTGTTACCTTTTTTTTTTTTCCCCCTCTCTCACTCTCTCTCTCTCTCTCTCTCACTCTCTCACTCTCTCTGCCTCTCTCTGCCTGATAATTAAGAAGCCTTTCGTCCTCAGGAAAGGGCTGAGTTTAATGACTCCCTGTGCTGGTTCAAAACCAAGCGCTCGGTGGCTCCTCGTCTGCTGCTGTTTTGCCACGGCCACGCTTCTTAATTTGTCTGCCTGTTTTAAACACAACAATAGCAAAGAGGATTGTAGGTTGAAGGATTTAACTGAATCTAGCCAGCCAACTGATAAAAAAAAAAAGGTGCAAAACATTTACTCGACAGACGAGCTAGCCAGCTTATAAAACTGTTTAAAGGTTTAACCTGAAGTCTGCTCAGTTTCAGAGATCGAGCAGACTGTCTAGAGCCTTTCGAATGTAGATACAAGCTTCTCCAGCTCTCCTCGGCTGCTGCTCAGGCTCAACACGGGAGGCCTGCGCCTGCTTCGGTGGAAAAGCAGCAAATAAAAACGAATGGCTGCAGCAGGCCGACACTGGGAGGGCCGCTCTGATCCCACTGCACCAAAACGACCGTAGCAGGACCCGACTCCGCGGCCAAATCGCTCGAACGGCTAAGACAGAGGAGGAGCGAAAAAACAGAGCACCTGATTGCTCCAGTCTATAGTAGCTGTGCGCTAAATCTTATCAAACTAGTTACTCTCCCGTTTTCCTCTCCCTGTTTGGACTCGTTTCGACAGTGCGAGGAGAAGCATCAGGCTGTGGGACTGATGGAAAACTAGGCCCTGCCAAATTCTGATTGACCATTACAGCCAATGATGTATATGCCTGTCAAAAGACAGACAATTAAATCAATATTCAGTGGAGGCGGGTGCAGGGGTGGGGGGAGCGGGGCTTGATGGCTTGTTTTTGGGTAGGACCTGCCAGGTCAGATTACCAGCCGCCATCTCAACTCCGCCAGTCTTTTAACTCCCGATGACAGTCTCTCCAGATGAGTCGACGCCGCCAGGAAAGTTTCGGAAGTGAAACATTCCATTTCGGGACGACGTCCCTCATCGCAGCAGTACGGAATCAACTTTGGGTTAAAGATGAAGCCTTAAACCTTAAAGCCCGCCTGTTACACCACCTCGCGGGGGCTCTAACGCCGAGCACATCGTAACGTAACTCGATTGCGGCGGCTTTGTGGCGAGGCACTTTTTCCTCTCATTGTTTCTGGGGCTAAATGTGCCTTTCATTACAATCCATGCCTTTCTTTCTTTCTTACTTTCTTACTTTCTTTATGAAGGGGTGGACTGAAGTGTCCAGCTCTGGCGCACGTCCACATCCCTCGAAAACCAGACAAACACCAGAAAACCAAACGAGAAGCCCGTCCTCATCCGGGCGCCTTGTTCTACAACCAAATCATAACCTACAAGCACTTCTGAAGCTCCCAATCAGCACCTTCTATCAGGGCAGAGATGTTTTTGGGTGTTACTTTCAGTGACACGCCCCAGCAACCTCCTCTCTCTCTCTCTCTCTCTCTCCCTCTCTCTCTCTCTCTCTCTCTAAAAAGAAAAAAAAAGTACAAGAATGCCCCCCCACCACCACCAGTGGGGGCAAAAGTTGTCCTCCTCTTAGAGAGAGCGCACACGCACGCACACGCGCGTTTCCATGGTGAATGATTCGCTGATGGTTATCGGGACTGAATAGATCAAAGGGAGCCACATGACAGGCGATCAATCAAGCATCAAATGAAGGATGGCAACGCGCGACCAAAACACGAGCGCTGGAAAACTCTGCAAAGTGCGTTTGATCTTCTGGAGGCCACCCCGTGCAATATTCTGCACGCTTCTACCAATTAGCTGTTGTAAGAATTTACCAAAATTTTAAAATATATATATTTATAATAAAGTAAAAGTAACTTATCACAACATTAAGTCATTACAGCTGGATCTAGTGAGACAACTACCCTGGCTTGGCTCTTGTTTTCATGAGGCCTGTGTTGCAAGCTGTGTAGGCTAATTTGTATCATTATTCTTATTATGGGTATTATTATAATATTAAAATAAATAAATAAATAAATACATACATACATAAACAGTGTAGTGTTGGTGCATGTGGCTGGTTCATTACCTGAGGATCGCCTGGGTGCTTGCTGCTTTCTCCGCGGCATGCTGGTCTCCAACTCTTTCCACTTGACTTTTCATACAGGAAGGGAATATATATGTAAAAAAAAACGTAAAAACGCAAAAACGTAAAAACGTGAGAATGATACGTGTGACGTTTTCTGCTTTTTTTTCAGTCGTTTCCGTTCTCTGGATCAAAGCAGATGGTCTTTTTTGTTTGTTTGTTTTAGTTCCCGTCTCTGTCTCTCTTTCTCTCTGTCTCTCTGTCCTTCACTGGAGTGGATGAAAGTCTTTGCTCTGGAAAAACGACGCAAGTTTGTTCCTCAGCGGAGCCGGCGCGGTCCTCCTCCTCCTGAGCGGAGATCTTTCAGGCTGACACGTTTGTGGTGGACTCGACATGATCGTCCGCCTCGTTCATTCTCCCCGCTGCCATCCGGAATCAAAAAGAGGGAAGGAAGGAGGGAGGGAGGGATCACGGAGGACGGAGGGCTCACCAGAAAAAAAAAAACTTCCACGGTCGGCAGATACGACAGAAAGAAACAAACAAACAAAAAGCAATATAAATAAACAGCCTCGTCCAACTGCGCGGGTTCTGTATGTCCACTCCAGGCGACTTCAAGCTCTGGGCCGAAGCGAAAGAAGGGAGCGAGGGGAAGGGAAAAAAGAAGAAGAAGAGAGCAGACGGTTAATCGGTTAATGTCAGTCAGTCAGTCACTTCAGCAGCACGAGCAGCCTCGACGAAAGAGGGAGGAAAAAACAGACATGTGGGCGATTTTAGGAAGCCCGGGGATGAGGAAGATGAAGAGGAAGAAAGGAGGAATAAAAGGCGTTCGACGCGGGGGAAGTAATTAAGCGAAAAGGCGCGAGCCGGGGAGGAAACCGCGAGCGGGCTCCGGTGCTCGGTGCTCGGTCTCCTGACTGAGAAATTACGGAGAGAGAGAGCGTTTCAGACAGCCTCAACTGATAGACAGACGCATCGAGTCGCCTCCCGTGCTCCCTCTCTACACTCCACCCCTCCGAGGAGCGTCACTCTGACAGCGAAAACCTACCTGTCAATCTTTTTAATTGTTCTGTTCCTATTCCTCCACTCCCTCCTCCCCAAAACAGGGTCGGTTGGGAGTGAGGAGGAGTGAGGAGTGAAGGAAGGAGAAGGAGAAGGAGAAGGGAGAGGAGGAGGAGGAGGAGGGAGGGGGACACAGAAATCACACCGCTCGACTCTTTACTCTTATTCACTCTCGTCAAACACAGTCGACAAGAAACAATGTAAACAGTCTGTTTGAATCTCTCGGTTGAAGCCGCGGCTGGGACTTTGTCTTCTCCAGCAAACAAAGCAGCGTTTCAGGCTCCTGAAACTTTGGTTTTGAGGGTTTAATCTGGTTTGAAGGGGAACTCCACCAATATTTAAAAAAAAGGGGAAATCTCCGTAATTAAGTAAAGTCATTCAGAGTGGTTTGGTATACAGAAACTGATAGGAACCAGACGTCTGAAGAGTTTAATGGCTATGAGCATGCTGCCTGATACACGATAGTGACCTGAAAGCCAACTAAAGCAGTATATATATATATATATATATATATATATATATATATATATATATATATATATATATACTATTTTACTGTATACTGTATATGTTTAGTCGGTTTTGAAGGGGAAATGTATGTGTTTAATGTGTTTAATCTGTTTTCAAGGGGAACTGATTTTTTTTACAAAACAAGAAAGAAAGAAACTGATGATAGGAACCAGACGTCTGACGAGTTTAATGGCTATGAGATTTTGGCCTAAAAGCCATACACACACACACACACACACACACACACACACACACATATATATATATATATATATATATATATATATATATATATATATAGTTAACTCGTCGTATATATTGCCTATATGTGACCCTCTGGAAACTGGAAAGAAATGTCGAGTTTCTTTGCCACACCAAACCACTCTGACTTTGTTTACACTAAAATCGTTGAATTCTGCAAGTTCGCTGGTCCTCCCCTTCCAGCTACGCTAATGGCAGCGAGTGAACGACGCGGACAGATTTAGTCACCTTCTTAAGGCGGTTCTGTCGTTTATTTGTTCTAAATAAGGACAGAACTGAGCTCCTCGACTCGTTTAATCATTTAAGCATGTTCCCTTCTGTGTTTCCTATCTGTCTCCCACCCCCGACACCCCCACCCCCCTCTCTCTCTCTCTGTGAAAGACAGTTGGAAGTTGCGGATTGATTCGTTCCACCTTACTAGGAAGTGAGCACTTTGCACGGGAAGGGGTGGGACTGCCGGCCGGGTTCAGCGTGGCCGCGCGCGCGCGAGAGAGAGAGCCCCCCTTTCTCTCTCTCTCTCTCTCTCTCTCTCTCTCTCTCTCTCTCTCTCTCTCCACAGGCGCGCGTTACTTATTCTTATTCATTCAAGTGCAAAACAGCTGTAAATGAAATTGCGTGGCTCTCGCGCGTCGCAGAATGAAAACAAAACATCGTTTTTCTTTTTTTTTCTTGTTTCTCTTTCTTTCTTTTTCTGACACTAAGCGAACTAAAAGAAAGCTGAACTTCGCCGCTGGACGCTCTGTGTCCACTCTGTCCACTTTGGGTGAGTTGGGAGTTGGTGGGGGGTGTTTTTGTTTCTCTTTTGGGGCCGGCCTCCTTGAAAAGTAGTGGCGCGCGCCTGGCCTCGCTGCCTATGTCTGTTTATTTTTTTCAAAGCTCCCTTCCTCGCACGCGCGCTTCCTTCTTTCCCTTTACCGAGCACGAGAAGAAGAAGAAGAAAAAGAAGAAAAAGGGAAAAGGGAGGATGATGAAGATGAAGAAGAAGAAGATGATGATGATGATGATGATGACGCTGCGCACCGATTGAGATTCCGGTGAGTTGTTGCACGTTCGCCTGCGCTCGCTAGTAGTGCGCGTGCCGCCACGCGACCATAACTTAGCTCGTGCGGAGAGAGAGAAGGAAAAGCAGAGCGGTGCCGTTTGTCACCGAGGAGGAATGAAAGAGTCTCGCGGAGCCTCTTACCTTTGGCGGAGTGGCGCGTCCTCCAGCTCGCGCCAGCTGCCTCCGCGCTGCTGATCCCTCGCGCCCTTCGCCCGTCGGCGGAGGCTGATCATGTGGAGAGCGTCCCGCCCCGACGTGCGTCCGTCCGCTCGCTCGCTCGCCTGGGCGCCCGTCCCTCCATCTGTCTGTCTATCCGTCTATCTGGCGATCTGTCTGTCCGTCCATCCTCGCGCCCACCGCCGCGCGCCTGCCTGTCGCTGCTGACGGCTCTTACGTCACCAGGCTTCCATCACGCACGCTTCCATCAAGTCATCACGCACCGCTCAGCATGGCAGCAGTGGTAGGGCATCCATATGTACATACATAGAAATAAACACAGCGGTCTGGACAGCCTGCAGATGTGTACGTGTATGTATTTGTTGCATAGAATAAAAATATTAATATTAATAATAAATTAAAATTTAAAATTTGGTCGTACAGCTAGTTAGATATCTATAGCCTCTGGATGTGTTTATTATAATCAACGTGTTTACTTCTCAACATGTTTAATTCTAGTAATATTTACTGTTATATAAATGTTAGGTTAGTTAGAACGGCAAACTATTATTAGTACTATTAGTATTATTAGTATTATTAGTATTAATATGTATTAGTATAGTATTAATATGTATTTTAATGCATTGTTGTTAAGCCTATTATTATTATTATTATTATTATTAGTAGTAGTAGTAGTAGTAGTAGTAGTAGCAGTAGTAGTCCTAGCAAAACTGGTTCTATGTAGTACCCAAAAAGGGTTCTTTAACCTTTTGTTGCTAAATAGAACCATTTTCAAAAAGGTTCTTTAAAGGACCACGTTTTCCATCTTAGAGAGAACCATTTAACCATGCAAAGAGCCACTCATGCATTCAAACATGTGTTCCCAGTTCTATAAAGAACCATCATCTTTACTAAAGAACCTTGGAGAACCCATTTTAAGGGTGTAGTAGCTGTAGTACTATTATTACCATCATCATTAATATTCTTTATTGATTATTCTATTCTATATCGATTATTCTTGCAAAAAAAAAAAAACTCGCCTTGTCTGCTTGTGTGGCAGTCTAAATGTCTCACTGCTACATAAACCCATTCTCAAAATGGTTCTTTGAAGAGCCATGCTTTCCATTATAGAGAGAACCATGTGAAGAACCATTCATGTATTCAAAAGTGAGAAGCTTGCAGAGCCAAACTTTACGGGTGTAGCAGCTGTAGGACTATTAGTGGCACCATCATATTCTTTATATTCATTTTACTCATCATTAATATTCTTTATTGATTACTCTTGCAAAACGTTCCTTAAACAACCATGTGTTCCGTCATAGAGGGAACCAGCCACTCATGCATTCAAACGTGTGTTCACAGTTCTATAAAGGACCATCATCTTTACTAAAGAACCATTTTTAAGGGTGTAGTAGCAGCAGCACTATTATTAGCATCATCATTATATTCATTATTGATTATTCTACATGCACAAAACTCGCCTTGTCTGCTTGTGTGTCAGCCTAAATGTCTCCCTGCTATCAAATCACGTTTCTCTGTTTGCCTCTCTGACTAAGCTCTAGCTCTCTGAGAGTGGAACCGACCCTGTAAACCAGGTGTGGAGCCCTGATTTACGGCGCAGGTAAACCACAGGGCCACGTATGCCTCTCTATACCATCCTGACCGTGCGGTTATTGGGACGCTGAGCTTGCGGGTTAAAGGGGGAGATATGCATGTATGTAGGTCGCGTGCGTCACCCTGGAGACACTGCGTAGAGGGCGCAGAGAAAGAGGAGGAGGTACGAGCTCACCTGTTTTCAGATTTAATCGTCCTGAAGTGTGGAAGCTTCTCTGAAATACATATTCGCGCCTCAGCAAACCGGCTTGACCCGCCTTCAGCCTGCAACTTAACACGGCCATTTACTCCTAAATGATTCATGATCTGCTCACTTACCATGTAGTCGATGAAGGGAATTTTAGGGAGGATTTCAGGCCGTTTTTGGCTGTCTGTCCGTCTGTCGTTATGCTCTGATGTTGCTAAGGTTGTGGCAAACAACAAGAGAAAATGGACTGTATATGAAACGTGGACACTCTCTTTTTTCCCTCTTGCGCTCAGGCTAGAACGTACCTGGCTTCGTGCCACAGACACGTCCCAAGATATCAACCTTAATTCACACCACCGTACATAAAGCTCTCTCGTGTTTGGCATTTAAAGTGCAGCATTTTTGCATTCTTAATCATAAAAGTGGCCTAGATCAGCCTGAACACGGCAGAGCACACACTTTACCCTGCAAAGTAGGGGTGTGTGATGATATCAGACTCATATGAGTATCAGCAGATATGTGCTTAAACAGTGCTGGTGGATGTTTAGATTTAACCAATATTTCAAACCTATAAATGATGTTTAATTATAATTTAATGTACATATTATACTGAAGAACAGGGTGTTTAGGTGACGCTGGCTTACTGTAATAAAATGCCTGTATTTAATTCATTTTATTGCACTTGTAGCCCCATATAAGTGTTACATTTCTCTGCAGGTGCCAATTTCTACATTTTATGAATGTGTAATGTAAATACACAGTGCTGTGCAAAAGTTTTGGCACCCAAGCACATTGTTTGAAACCACTTATCTTTGGACACTGAATGGAAAAAGCATGTAAAGGCACTACATATCATTAGAATACATGCAAACAAGCATTATTGTCTTGTTGCAGACAGATCGTTTCTTGTTTTTTCCAAAAAAAATAAAATCAGTGAGCAGGTTAGAACAATGCAGATTTGGTTCTAGATTTCTCCTGAACACTCTTAAGTCAATGCATAGATGTTCAAATTGACAACCAGCTCACTTGGTATAATTTAATGAAGTACTGATTAGTCAAACAGGCATTGGATGATATTTACAAATAGTACTAAACTTCCTCGAAGAGAGCTTTGGAAAAACAAACACACTGACATACACAAAATCACTATGTATTGTGTTAGTTATTTATATTTATTTGTTTGTTTTACTGCACAGAAAAATGTCATTTAAAATCTAATTTAATGTGCCTAAAACATTTGCACATGAATGTATATCAGCAGATATGGAAAAATATCAGATATCGTCATCGGCCCACGGCTCCCATATCAGTGCAACCCTGCGCCCTTAAAAATAAAGGTGCTGAAAAAGGGTTCTCTTTCAATTTTGTACATTATGTTCCTTTTTCGAGTTGAGAGAATCGCCACATAATCGCTGCTGTTGGAACAAAACCTCATATCTCCAAAATGATAACTTTACAGGAGAAGGAAAAAACGTACTTTACTTTTAATGTAAGTGAATGGAACCAGATTTTTCTGGATTGAAGTCATTTTGGGCCGTTTCTTTTGGTCTCTTCATCATAAAATGAACACACAACGTAACAGACATTTTCAAACGATGTCAAAAACTGAAAAACAAAAGACAAAAATGGAGATACGAGGTTTTGTTCCAACAGCAGTGTAATGTAAAGAAGCCTCAGATTCACATCATGTTTTAAGGGCTTGTAATCATTAAAATGTTCTTCATGCTTACATTCTCTTTTTTACGCATTGTTCTTGAGGGAACCAAAGGGAACCTTATTTTCTAGGAGTTTATGAAGAGGTCTGCTTGCAAGAGTTAGAACATGCTGCTCAAATTGTGTGTTTCCTTGTAAATTATTAAGTCAAACACATCGAAAATCATTCACACAAGCCTCTGTTTTCATCTTTTATTTCTGCTAATATGTTAAATTCAGCAAATAAACAGTGATCGTGCGTTAACATGTGCAGAACTGCCTTCTCTGTGGAGGAGGTGTTGACTTATTCTCACTTTGGAAATCAACAAAACGTGTCGTTTGTCCGGGGGCGCCTAAACTTTTGCACACGCCTGCATTTTGCTCTTTCACGCCGGAGCTCGGTGCTCAGACTCGTGCATGAGATGGACTGCGACACTGTTAAGCGTATCTGCGTCCTTTGCAGTGAGCAGCCGGAGCAGATATGTATTTATTTAACAGTAAAACAAGCTGATATAAAAGCTTTCAGTGTTGAAGTTTTTCGCCGTCATATTAAAAGCTTTTAACTTCAGTCTTTTGTTCAGTGTTTATAACAGCGTTTGAAAATGCCAGCTGCTCTTTACATTGCATGCACACTTCATCATGAGTGGGTGAATAAAAATGGTTCAAAATGACTCAGAATAAAATGCTGTACGTTCTTAAAAAAAGGTGGTTCTTCAAAGGTTCTTTAGTAGAAGGAATGTTTATGTTTAGAACCCTCAGTTCTACATAGAATCATTTGCATGGTTACATGATTTTATTCATGGTGAAATTGTTCTTCAGATTGATGGAGAATGAGTGTATTTATTGAAAATGGTTCTATGTAGCATCAAAAAGTGTTCTCCTATTGTTTCAGTGTCAAGCTTATAACAATAAAAGAACCCTTTTTGGTGTCATTTTCGAAAAGGCTCTATATAGAACCGTATACAACACATTCTCCATCAATCTGGAGAACAATTTCACCATTAAAAGAACAATTTAAGCATGCAAATGGTTCAAAATGACTTGGAATAAAATCCTGTATGCTGTTAAAAAGATGGTTCTTCACGGGTTCTTTAGTAAAAGGAACAGTTCTGTATAGAACCCTAAGTTCTATATATAGAACTATTTGCATGCTTAAGTGTTTTTATGCATGGTGAAATTGTTCTTCAGATTGTGTTGTATATTTTATTGAAAATGGTTCTATATAGCATCAAAAAGGGTTCTGCTATTGTTATGGTGTCAAGCTTGTAGCAATAAAAGAACCCTTTTTGGTGCCATTTTCAAAAAGGCTCTATATAGAACCACATACAACACATTCTCCATCAATCTGAAGAACAATTTCACCATTAAAAGAACAATTTAAGCATGCAAATGCTTCAGAATAAAAACCTGCACGTTCTTAAAAAAAGATGGTTCTTTAAAGATTGAATGGTTCTATGCAGAACCATAAGTTCTATATATAGAACCATTTGCATGCTTATATGTTTTATGCATGGTAAAACGGTTCTTCAGATTGATGGAGAATGTGTGTGTATATATATATAT